TCATTTGTTCTCCATCTCTACAGTTTTGACATTTTGAGAATGCTGTATAAATGGAATCATACAGCATACAAACTTTTGAGATTGACATTTTCTTTAATTGTGGTAAAATACACATAAAATTTACCATCTTAACCATTTTCAAATGTACATTTTTAAGTATATTCACAATGTTGCGCAGCCAATCTCCAGAACTTTTTCATCTTGTAAAAATGAAACTCTACACTTATTATACAACACTCCTCATTTCCCCTTCCTTCCAGCCCCTGGCAACCACCATTTTACTTTCTCTGAATGTGACTACTCTAAATAACTCATATAAGTAGAATGATACAGTATTTGTCTTTCGTGATTGGCTTATTTCACTTAGCATAATGTACTCAAGATTCATCCATATTTCCCTTTTCTTGATGAGATGGCTTAGGTAAAGAAAGAGAAGGTAGTAAATAATAGATTATGGTGGTTTCCTTTTTTTCTCCTGCTGTTTGCCAAAAATGTCACCATTCATCTAAATTTTAGGGCTAACAGACCTGATTCATCCCTAACATACTATGTAGATTTATCCAAAAAGTAAAATGACCAGATGGGTTAGAATATTGATTTAAGTAAATAATGGAAACTCCAAATATAAAATGGGACTGTAAAAGAATTACCAAATCTGGTTTCCTATGCTCCTAACTATATCAATACAAGGGGTCTTTTGTGTCCTTTTGCTGATATGCTGAGAGCATCTTCTTAATTATCAATGCTTTGCTGACAAAATCTCAACAAAGAGCATAACATGTGAAATAACATAGCTGCCTTGTCCATGTTTTTAACTATAATTTACAAAACCACAATCTGCCTACCCTATGGATCAAATAAATGCCTGCTCCTTCGCTAAAACAGATATATAGGATGGGGAAAAGTAGGGTTACAGTTGTGAATACACAAAACACAATTTATTCCTGTATTGCTACTTATTAATTACTGTATTATTTTCCATAAGAACAACTGTAAACCTATTTTTGCCCCACCATGTATATATACCTTCTGACAAGTTTTTTGCTCATCAGCTACCAGTGAGTAGACTTTAAATAATTTGCAACACACTGTCAAAGTAAATGTAATAAAACTACATGCAGATTAGCTTTCTTTTCTTACAAAATAAAGCAATTCATAGATGTTACTCCAACAACTTTGCTGAAATTTATTTATTTTATCCCCCTCCAATTATTTTACAATATGCACAATGTAACTAGGTATGCAGGGTAGGCTACAATCTGGAAAGTTTCAAAGCCATCAGTCTTACAGGCTTTCATCTAGTGTGCTTCTTGTGGCCTCAGAAGGGATCATCTCCAAGACCCCATATGATAGTCTGGCAATTAACTAGATGAACTGGAACTCTCAGAATATACAAATTAATAAGGCTCTTTTTAGCTCTACTGTTTTCACTTCAATGCTTTATAACAGAGACTACAATATGCACTATGTAATATACGATTACAACTTCCAACGCTAACACTACCACTCCCATCACACACACACACACACACACAGAAACCCACGACTTGATTAGCAAAAATTAAGAAACCTCATAGTTCTAGTGTTGTGAGAACATGGAATAACCTGAGTTCAGACATTGCTCATGGGAGTGTAAACTGGTACAACCACTCTGGAAAACAATTTGGTATTACCTACTATAGCTGAACATGTGCATATACTCCTGTATCTGTTCTCTTGACAAGTACACCAAGAGATATGTGCAAGAATATTCACAGCAGTACTTTCATAAGACCAAAAAATGCAAACAACCCAAAAGCTGACTGAAAAAAATACTGTGGCATATTCACACAATAGGATTTTAGATACCAGTGAAAAACTAATGAAGTACAGTTAAACACAACCTGGATGAATCTTAGAAACAATGATGCGTTAAAAGATCAAGTCATAACAGACTATATGCAATAAACTACCATGTTAATAAATTTCAAAAAGAAGAAAAATTAAACATGTTATTAGTTATGGAAACATTCATGCAATTTTAAAAAGGAAAAATAAACACAAAATCCAGTATACATAAGGTCAGGCAGATGGACAGGGGAGTAACTCACCATCAACAGGATTGGTAAAGTTCTAGTTCTTAGATTGAGTGATAAACTCTTTAGTTCCATTATTAAGCTTTATAATATGTGTGTGTCTGTGTGTTGAGTGTCTATCATATAGAATCTCTGGAGAACTAACATTCCAGCTATAGGACAAGTTTAGCCCACTCATAAGATGACATTCTTGGTAACTGGGAATGATGCCAAGAAATAAAATCACTCTACTATTGATATTCGGTAACTTTTGTAGCAACAAAGAAATTACAGGTGTCTCAAAAAATTAAAGCAAGGGGGTGGGCAAGGGAAGTGGGGGTGACTATAAAAGAGCAAGTGAGGGATCCTTATAGTGATGGAAATGTTCTGCATCTTGACTGTATCAACATCAGTATTATGCTTATGATATTGTACTGTAGTTGTGCAAGATGTTACCACTGGGAAAATCTGGCTAAACGGTACATTGGATCTCTCCGTATTATTTCTTCCAACTGCAAGTGAATCTACAATTATCTCAAAGTAAAAGATTAATTTAAAAAAAGAAAACATAAAAAGAGATCATTTTCATCCAGGGTTTCTCCACCTTGGTACTACTGACATTGTGGGGCACATAATTCTTCATTGTTAGGGACTGGCCTGGGCATTGTCGGGTGTTTAACAGCATCCCTGGCCTCCATCCATTAATGCCATTAGCATATCCCAGTTGTGACAAGATTTCCATACACTGCCAAAAGTTCCCCAGGGGGGCAAAACTGTCCCATTAGAGCAGTGGTTCTCAACATTCCTAATGCCGCTACCCTTTAATACAGTTCCTCATGTTGTGATGACCCCCAATTTCATTGTTACAAATTAAACATAATTAAAGCATAGTGATTAATCACAAAAACAATATGTAATTATATATGTGTTTTCCAATGGTCTTAGGCGACCCCTGTGAAAGGGTCGTTTGACCCCCCCAAAGGGGTCGCGACCCACAGGTTGAGAACCACTGCATTAGAGAATCACTGCTCTAGTCATAAAAACAAAGAAGAGCTGTGGAAATGTTCCTCAAGATTGAAGGAGACTAAAGAGACATGGCAACTAAATGCAATATCTGATCTTACACTGGATCCTGTACTAGAAGAGGAAAGAATGCTTTTATGAAGGACATTATTAGGTCAATTAACAAAACTGGAATACCAATGATAAATTAAATAAAAGCATTGTGTCAACATTAAATGTGCCTAAATTGATTACTGTGATGTAATTATGTCAATAATATTCCTATGCTTAGGAAATGCACAATGAAGTATTTAGGAGTAAAGGACCATCCTATATAATAAAAGCCTAATATGCAAATTGTCCCCTTCACAGGGAGTTTGGGGGTGGGGCGGGGCCAGCCGGCCAACTGCCTGCAGCCCCTCCCTCTGGCTGGATCCCACCCATGCACGAATTCATGCATTGGGCTTCTAGTGATGTGTATAATCTACCATCAAATGATTCAGAAAAAAATATATATGTGTATCTGTGTGTATATATATTTTATATATACATGTGAATAATATTTGTATACTAGAGGCCTGGTGCATGAAAGTCGTGCACAGGAATGGGGGTGGATCCCTCAGTCCGACCTGCACCCTCTCCAATCTGGGAGCCCTCAGGGGAGCCCTCTCCAATCCGGGAGTTTCTGTCTATCTTTGCAATCATATGAGCGAATTGTCTGAGACCCCCCCAACCCAGTTTGGTTTGGTGCTCACAGAATAATAGGTCTTTTTTTT